ATACTTGCTTAGTTATTTTACATATTAAACCATAGTTTGTTTTAAACTATGGTTTAATGTGACACACAAAGGGGGTCATTGTATCACTCATGCAAAATATAATGCAATGAACATGGTGAATAGCCACCAGCTCCCTCTTACTGCTTTCTAAATGTGCAGAGAGCACAGGAGATTTATTAGATTTATTAGCTGGCTCATCTGCAAGAAAATAAAAGAGAGAGAAAAGAAATAGAAATATTATTCCATTCCCAAAACTTAGAGAAGATACTTTGATCGCATGCTGTTACAGAGAAAGTGCCTCCTTGCTCCCTGTAATCTCGCAAAGTAACTAAAGCATCTTGTAAGAAAAAAAAATACAAACACAGTCTTTGACTACAAGGCTTTATTCGCACAAAATTGACTTCCATTGAAGAAACAGCTATTGTCTGTTGCTTGCGTTAGTGACTGTATTATTTGTGATATTGAGTTTGATCACTAACATATTCGACGTGTCCCTTGGCATAGGCTACAGTCTGTTTTTCTTTTCTTTTTTGTGAATATAAAAATCATAAATGGAAGAAAATTGGGGAGCCGTCCCGAGCCCAAATGACATTTTTGAAGCTGATCCTTTGCTTGGTGGGCATCTCTAGTGGGAATCATTAGCGGTCTCTCGCAAATAAAGCAATCAAAAAGAAAGCTCCTTTGAAATGCTCGCTGGTGTTTAATATTTGATTTGTTCCCATGTTACTACTGTGTGTTTAGCCTGCGGAAAAAAACAGCTTCATAGGAGTGAGACATGATGGGCTTGACAAGCGTTTTGCCCGTCAATTGCTACTTCAGTACAATACCGTTTTGTTTGCTGTTTTGTTTCCCTGTCTTCTAACATTCTTTCTGACTTTGAAGGGGGGGGGAGATAGATGCCATGGGAGGAAGGGGGATTTTCCTCTAAGAACGCCAAAGAATAGGATAGAGAAGTTTCCTTTCAACTCCAAACTGATCTGTCCTTGATACACATCGCCAACCCTTGGTTCACCTCTGTTAGCTTCTTTCCTGCTCTAACTACCTTGTCACTGCTGTAACCGTCTGCAGGAGGAAAGGGAAGATTCACACAAACCTCCTCATCCTGTGTCAATAAAGGACAGAGCAACAAACTGTATTTCTGGTTGGCTGGACCTGAATTTGTGATGAGTAGACAAAAGTCCGCCTTTTGGAACGGGAGGAAAGCTGGACAGGAGAGCTATTGGTGACTCTTAATTCTATTTGTGCCGCCTGGAAGTCAGGATGGTTTTTGTGTGTGTGTACGTCTTCTTTTTTTGTCCACCGCCCGCCCCCCTCCACACTTCATTTTGATTTGATTATTTCGTAGAGATGGGCTCCCTTTTCACCCCCTCCAGACGCGTGGAGGAAGGCTGCTGAGGCAGTTGGCCTATAGTTGCCGTAATCAAATTAAGCATTTGCTACAACTTTTGAGGAGAACGGCTCGCGTGTAAAAAGGACGACTCCAAACAAAAAGGAGAGCAGGGGGCCTGGAGATGCCAAGGAGAGGAAGGGGAAACCCGCAGGTCCTTTCATCTTTAGAGGAAAATTTGAGAAGGGAAAGAAAAGAATCTACAAAAGATTCCACCCCTCTCCTGCCCTGCCGAAAACAACCCCCCAAATGAATAAATAAATATGAAAACAGAAGGGAGATAATCAAGTCCAGGGCATTTGCTCAGGGGGCTGAAAGAAGGCTGGGTGGAATGAAAAGAACAGGGGAGCACAGGACCCGTGAGGTCGCTGGCACCCTGAATGGAGACTGGAAGGTGGCAAGCAGGTGGAGGGGGAAATGGGCGCCATAAGTGAAGGATAAAGAAAACAGCTGAGTTGCAGCAGGAAAAACTGTGAACACTAAATGTTTAATGGTTGTATTTTGGAGCCTCGGTTGTGGCCTGCTGGGACCAGGGAGGTTTTTTTTTTAAAAGCCCCGCCTAAGGTCTTAAGAAAGGGACGCGGGTGGCGCTGTGGGTCAAACCACAGAGCCTAGGACTTGCTGATCAGAAGGTTGACGGTTCGAATCCCCGCAACGGGGTGAGCTCCCGTTGCTCGGTCCCTGCTCCTGCCAACCTAGCAGTTCAAAAGCATGTCAAAGTGCAAGTAGATAAATAGGTACCGTTCCGTGCGCTGCTCTGGTTCGCCAGAAGCGGCTTAGTCATGCTGGCCACATGACCCAGAAGCTGTACGCCGGCTCCCTTGGCCAGTAAAGCAAGATGAGCGCCGCAACCCCAGAGTCGGCCACGACTGGACCTAATGGTCAGGGGTCCCTTTACCTTTAAGGTCTTAAGAAAGAAATTTGTTGTTGTTTAGTTGTTTAGTTGTGTCTGACTCTTCGTGACCCCATGGACCAGAGCACGCCAGACACTCATGTCTTCCACTGCCTCCTGCAGTTTGGTCAAACTCATGCTGGTAGCTTCGAGAACACTGTCCAACCATCTCGTCCTTTGTCATCCCCTTCTCTTTGTGCCCTCAACCTTTCCCAACATCAGGGTCTTTTCCAGGGAGTCTTCTCTTCTCATGAGGTGCCCAAAGTATTGGAGCCTCAGCTTCAGGATCTGTCCTTCCACTCAGGGCTGATTTCCTTCAGAATGGAGAGGTTTGATCTTCTTGCAGTCCATGGGACTATCAAGAGTCTCCTCCAGCACCATAATTCAAAAGCATCAATTCTTCAGCGATCAGCCTTCTTTATGGTCCAGCTCTCACTTCCATACATCACTACTGGGAAAACCATTGCTTTAACTATGCGGACCTTTGTTGGCAAGGTGATGTCTCTGCTTTTTAAGATGCTGTCTTGGTTTGTCAAGAAAGAAATGGTTCTCTCTTTATCTGGGGCTGCCATTGCTACCAACTGTATAGGAGGCCGGGATGGGGTACTGTCACTGCCATCCATTTCTCTGGGCAGAGACCACTTCAGCTTGTTCAACTTGTGATACGCGTTACTAGCAGTTGCTCGTTATCCAAGTGACTCCGCCATAGGCTACTTCCATACTTCCACATTTGCAGAATGTGTGCCTCCACGTGCACCTCCGTCAGAATTTACTGCTCAACGGTCCACTTCTGCAGTCTCCAACCCAGCCTTTGGCTGAATCCAGGTAAAAAGAGAGATGTGCCTTGCAGTTGATAAGCAACCTTAAAATGCTACATCCAGCCCAGTGGCTCTGATAAGAGCTGCAGTAACCACAGTGCCCACAAAGAGCAGGCCTATGAGATACGAGATGGTCTGGAGCAGAACTAGGCCTTGCCCCCAAATTCCCCAAGCCTAGGACCTCCAGCCTTGTCCAATATGCTGGCAATGTTAGGATGACTATCTCTGCTAGATTTGTATGTAAAAACCAGGTGAAACAGCCATCTTTGGCAGTTGCATCATCTTAGATATGTGCCCGTCGCTGTGTGGGATGGATCCCCTGTTAAGAATAACGTATGCATGCCAAATGGTGCAAAAAATTGCCAGTTTGCTTCTGACTGGCCAGTCAACTTTGGGTTTGCTTCCGAACTCTGGGACACATACTTAACTTTCCTGCATGTGGAACGGCAGCAAAATGTCACAGTGTGCAATGTTTTTGTTCAAGGTTCCAGCCAGCCAGCCATGCCCTTTCAGGACACTCCATTCCCTTCCCCCTTCCAGTTTTCTGTTCTGTCCCCAACCGTCAGTTAACTTTTTGTGTCCAAAGCTCAGACCGCAGTGGACTTTTTTCAGGAGGGGGGTGGTGGAATACTTCACACATCCTTGTATTTCTGCAAATCTTAGGGCTTCCCTGAAGCCTCCTAACACCTCCTTTTATGCCATTTTGGCTACATGAGGGTCCAAAGAACGAGTTCGCTGTTACTGATGTAGGAGATGTACCTTGGCCCAAGCCCTGGCAGTAGTTTTTGGCCCATAGGCATACCCATTGCCTCCTCAATGTGTCACCAATATGAGAGCTAACTAGAGCTTTCAGTCTAGAATGGCCACATGTATGAGCAGCAGCGTCTTCTGCTCACTGCAGTCCTTGGCAGAATAAACAACACCTGCTGAGCACGACCACATGCAAGAATCAGCAAGGTTAGAATGAATCTTGATACTGGAAGCATGTCTCATTGGTGGGTGTGATTTTTCAAGAGCCAGATTTGTGTGTGTGTGTGTCCCACCCCTTCACCAAGGCCATCGCCAGGGCAGGATTTGGGAGCAGAAGTCAAAGCCCAGCTCCTAGCCAGAATAAGCAGGCGGGCTCCCAAGCACAGCAAGCTTGACTGATTGTATTTTGAAGCAAATGAGGTAATACATGATCAGTCAGTAGAGCATGAGACTCTTAATCTCTAGGTTGTGGCTTTGAGCCCCATGCTGGATTGCAGGGGGTTGGACTAAATGACCCTCAGCACCCCCTCCAACTCTACGGTTCTTGTAGCTAACACCGTGGTTCTCAAAGGCTGTGGCAGAAGAGGATGCAAAGTGCGGCAGGCAGATCCAAGGACAATAATTCATACATTTCAGTGTAGAGTAGTATAGTATAGTATAGTATAGTATAGTATAGTATAGTATAGTATAGTATAGTATAGTATATATTAAAAAAATATTTCTTTGAAGAATATGGATAGTTATCTTTTCAAAATCAAGCACTGCTACCAGTTGCTTGCTTTCCAATGCATTTCTTATCGTTGTGGCGCAAGCAAATACTTATTCTGAAAGTGTAGCCCAGAAAAACAAGTGTGAGAAACACTGTTGTAGCGCAAAGCACGGTACTCCAGAAATACTTATACTACCGAAGGAGCGCTCCCCCGCCCCAAGCAGCCGTTAAATCCCGTGTCAAAGCTTGCTTAACTGGAGGCCGGGTTAAAAGCGTCAAGAGACCACGTGGAGTAATAGAGGCCTTGAGAGTGGTTGCGTTGGACTCCGCCTCCCAGTCAGCTTGGGGTTGCGGGTTTTTTCTCTGCCTGGGGTTGGTATGTTGTGTGTTTGTGTGTATAATACAGATGAGTATGTATGTGCCAAAGAGGGCAAACAACCGCCCCTAACAGCCTTTCGATGCGCGCCACTCTGCCACTCTTTGCATGGACGGCGGACCCCTCACCCCGCGTTTGGACTCCGGAGAGGTCTTCCAGGGAACTCTCCCTCGCCACTTGAGATATTTCCCTCCCCGACTATCCTCGCCTGTTCCGGGGCAGAGTGCCCGTTTCCCCCCGGCTCCGGTTCTGCGCCGCCAAGGTCGACGCGCAATTGCGCGCTCTCCAAGAGCACCCTCGACGGCATCGCCATCCTGGCCCACGGACTGCAATTGGGCTGCGTGGGTTGTCCCCTCAAGAAACCTTTTCATCGGCGAGTCACAAGGACATGTAGCAAAACACACGCACGCACGCACACACACACACACCATTGCAGCCGCGTTTAGGGTTTGAAGGAGCCTTTCAATGTGCCATAAAACACTGGAGAAAGTCCGGAGGTAGTTCCGGCGCACGCGAGATTTCTCCCCACCCATTTTTCCATTCTTTTAGGCTCGGTGAAAGCTCTGCAAATACTGCGGATCGGTCTTAAAGGCTTTAAATACTATCCGAGTGTGATAGTTTTATTAGCTCGGGAGGGATGCAAGGAAGCGCCTCAGAAACACCCGGAGTTTGTTTGTCCCCCTCGCCCCCCTCACTTGCCTGTTCATTTTGCAAACTCGCCTCGCGATAGTTTTGGTTTTTACCAGCTCAGAGGAAGGGAGATCTAAATGCAAGAAAATGAATGGCGTGGACTTTGTATCTTGGGGTAAATAACAGGCTGCAATGGTCTCCAAGGAAGCACCATGCAAATCGTGAAATCCACAGACAAGAATCTGGGGGGGAACTGATTTGCTCAGGCTCCCTGGGAGGAGAAATGTATTTTCTTCTACAAGGGAATGTGAAGGGAGCTGCAGCGTTGTCAGTAAACAGAAAACGTGACTTCATCGGGAGCATCAAGACACCAACTTGTTATTGGAGCTGTTTTAAAGTAGATTATTATGGTCATTATTATCGTTACGTTGGGACCCCCATCAAGCGCAGATATTGAAAAGGCGAACGTAAAATTAAAAATAAATAAAAAAGCACGTTAAAAAACCCCGCCCCCGCCTCGATCTCCATGAAAGGATGTCCATATCTCTTCCGCTAAAATCCATCGGATTATCAAAATGTTACGGTCCGGCTGGGGAAACGTATTTTGTGAACGCGGGGGGAGAAAGGATGCGGGTTTTAGGTGGGCGAGGACGCGTCCATGATTTAAACCCAGGCCTGGGCCTAATCGCTGCCTTCGAAACCCAAGTGTTGGGAGCGGGCGGGCTTTTCTCGTGGGCCCTCGGTTAGTCTCGAGAACCACCGGGGTGGGGAGTTGGTGGTGGTGCGGATGGTGCCAGGAAAGGGAGACGCAGTGGAAAGCGCCTCCAGGCACGCGCGACCTTCGAAGGAGAAGCGCGGGGTGTGCCGTCGGTTCCCCCGCCCCACTCTCCCTCCGACCAGGTGCCTTTGGGAAACCCCTCCATCCGCTGCCACTCCCCACCCAGGGGTCCCTTTCGCAGGGTGCCCGAGTCCTGCCAGTGTACTCGCCCTTTATCGCATTTCACGCTCCGAAGGGAGTCTCTTTGGAGTTCAATTGAGCGCGTAACGCGCGTACAAAGCAGGTTTCGCGACGACCCCGGGGTTTCACTCCTTAGTCCGAAGCTGCGGGGAGAGGGAGGCTTCTTTCTCTTCTTAGTTGTGTGGGGGGGCGGGGGAAACCACCTCTCTCCACACACACCCTTAAAACATGCCCCCCCAAGCAACAACCCCCAAGCCTTCTTTCTTTTTATTCCCAGGTGTGTGGGTGTGCGTATGCATAGGGCAAACTTCTAGAGGGCGATGTCCTTTCAGCCCCCCAATATAATATTTAAATATTTGAGGGGGGGCCTCAAAGTTGATAGCTATTGCCATTCAAACGGTGCGTGGGTGTCGTGTCTTGTGATCGATTATGTGGGGCGGGGTTTACCTGGGGCCCCCAATATTTTAAGCAAGTTAGCAGCCCTGTATATAGGGGTGCGCGCGCGCGTGTGTATGAGTGAGATCAGTTAAAAAGGAGGTTTAAAAGCTCGGGCAAATCGGATCAGGGGAAATCGTCACCCAACTTTCCTCCTTTCCCAAGGAGGCTGATCGAATTAAAAGGGCAGCGAGGCTGTTTGGCGAAAACAGAGGACCGGGGACGTCGAGGGTGTGTATTAAATTCTCATTAGAGATGCAGGAATCAGCCAGAGGGAAGTTGGGCAGCTCAGCCTCCCTCCCTCCCTCCCTCTTTCCTCCCCCTCCCTCCCTCCCCTCCCTCCTTCTCCCCTCCCCCCTCCTTCCCCTCTTTCCTCGCTCCCCCCACCCCCCACCCCAGTTGCCAGCCCAATAGACTGATGAGTTATTGTCATGTAAAAAGCGCCCGCGATCAGACCAACCGCTTTGCTATTGTCCAAGTGGAAACAGCCAAGTTTATGATGAGGACTATATGCTCTAGAGACCTCAGGCAAGGCAGCTCATAGGAGCCGTTTTTTCATAAAACTCGGCACGGCTGGTAGCAAGGAGGCCACTCTGGAAGCAAGAGCGGAGCTGTGCGCATCTCGCTCTCTCCCCTTGCCTTGGCTCTTCTTCTCTCCCCCCTCATCCACCTCGCCCCCACCCCCACCCCCCACCCCACCTTGACCAGGAGCCCCATCTTTTCTCTCTCCCCACCCTCCAGCCCCCAAACCCGTTGGCTGGGCCATCCCCGAGCCTTTTCAATGTATAAAATGGAATATTCTTACCTCAATTCCTCCGCCTACGAGTCGTGCATGGCTGGGATGGACACGTCCAGCTTGGCTTCGGCTTACGCGGACTTCAGCTCGTGCAGCCAGGCGAGTGGCTTCCAGTATAACCCCATCAGGACCACTTTCGGGGCCACCTCCGGGTGCCCGTCCCTCACCCCCGGATCCTGCAGCCTGGGCACCCTTAGGGACCACCAGAGCAGCCCATACGCGGCAGGTAAGGACCCTGCGCCCCTGGCTGGAGACTGGAGAGAGAGAGAAGGGGAAAGGCAAGCAGGGAGAGAGAGAGAGAGGGCAAGAGACGAGGAAGGGGGAAGAGCCAAGCCAAAGCCCGACCGAGGAGAAAAGAGAGGGAGGGGGAAAAATAGGAGAGGGAAGCCTCGCTTTGATTGCATTTGGAAAATGGCAATGTGTTTAGTATTTACCCAACGAAATTTGCTTACACAAATGAAAGAATTTATCACGTTAGGAGCGATTGCAGGGAAGGAGAGAGAGGAGAGGAGAGAGGAGGGGGGTGGGTTGGGTTGGGTTTGTGTGTTGGGGGGGGAAGAGGGGGGTGTAATTCACTTACACCGTTACACTATCCGAAGTCACACCCGAAACCGCCAACAAAATTATCTTAAGCTGCCAAAATGATCGGCATAATTTATTTACTTTGCGAGGGAGACGGAAAAGCTGGGGGAAATAATTAAATAAGCCGCGAGGAAAGCTCATTACTGACACTGTCTTCTTCATCATCTTCATCTTCATCGCCTTTCCCCCTTTCCTTCTCTTCCCTTTCCCTCTTTTAAGAAACCGCATCCACCACGGGCAACAACAGTAAACAAGCCATGAAGAGATAAGCGGGCACTGTCTCGCTGCTAGTATTTTTCTTTTTCTTTCGTTCATTTCTTTCCTTTTTTAGCAGCTCCCCCCCTAGGAACAACGAAATCCCGCCTGGGCGAAAGTCTTCGAGTAAGGGAGGAGGTGCAAAAAATTCAGGGGCAGCTCTGGAGGGGTCTGGGAGGGGGAGGCGACACTTACTTGGGAGCACGTCCCATTGAGCTCAATCGGACTTCCGAGTCAACATATTTAGGATGGCACCTGTCGGTGTTGCTCTATTTCGGTCAACGCAACGGGTCGATTTTGCTATCGAATTCCATGGAAACAGCATCTCTGGTGCTGGTCGTGGATCATTATTATTTTTGGACCATTTTTTGTACTAAACCAAGCAGGCATGTAGCAGTAGCATTTTGAGAGAAAGGCAGCCTTGGCCGTCTTGTCTGAATGCTCACACCCGCATCTAGCGAGATCGCCCTGCCAATCTCTCCATTCGTCATCTCTCTTTGCGACATTGAAGGAGGAGATGGGGGGGGGCCCGCAACTACGAGATTTGCCTGTCATTCCAACGAACCACCCCCACCCCCATCTTAATTTAGCATAAATTGTCATCGCTCTCCCCTCCCCCGCAATTTCATTTTTTGAAAATCGTCGCTAAGGGTGGTATACTTTTGATCCAACCGCAATAAACAGATGCGGTGGGGTGGAGGGGAAGGGAGGTGAATGGGTTTCTTTTTAATAACCTATATCGAAAGTGAAAAAAATAAATAGTGTTTTGGAGAATCCATCTGCAAACAGACCGTATCATTCTCCTTTCTTATCCATTTCGTTATCGAAATACATCCCTCTCCCTTTTCTGGATTAGAAACCTTAACCGTCTCAGAAAACGGAGGGGACACGAATGCGTTTCTTCTCCGTGTCTGCTCGCGAGTAAGCTCCCTGGTTATGCGGGTTGTTAGCATGGCGGCGTAGACGGTTTCGCGGGTCACGCTCCGACCGCCGCAAGCGCAGTGAAACCATTCGAATCCGGATCCCCCGGACGGCTGTCCTCGCGTTCCAACGGCTTATTGCGGGGAATCGCAGCACGTTATCGACTGGCTTGTGTTTCTTTTCCTCCCACCCCGCTCCCCTTTCCCGCTTTAGTCCCCTACAAGCTCTTCACCGACCACGGGGGCTTGAACGAGAAGAGGAAGCAGAGGCGGATTAGGACCACCTTCACCAGCGCGCAGCTGAAGGAACTGGAGAGGGTGTTCGCGGAGACTCACTACCCAGATATCTACACCCGAGAGGAACTGGCCCTCAAAATCGACCTCACCGAAGCCAGAGTTCAGGTTGGTGAAGGAGCTCCTTTCGATCCGGATTGCAGCAGCCGCCTAGGCCGCTTCATCCGGAGCAAAGCATCGCGGGTAGCAACGCGCAGCTTTCAAGATTTTGTTGGACGGGAGGTGACCAACGACAGAGAGTCCCAGGGTGGGAAGTCTGTTGCTTTTGCACATTTGCATACTTCCCTTTGGAAAATATATGAAAATGGATGCAGGGTTTTTTATGTTTATCATTCCGGGCCTCTGCCTTTTATTTTTTTAACCTCGTTTATCTTGAGTCATTCCTCCATCAGCAGCCGGAGGCATTCAGCTTTGCATCCCAAAGCTGTCTCACGTTCCTCATGGTAATGACTAAGACTCCTAAGGGCAGCCATTTCCTTGGAGAGCCCAGTGGCTAGGATATGTATTCCCTACAGCTTGGCTCACTTGCTAGAGCCACCCATTTCTGTACAGGCACCTTGTCAGTTCCTGATTTTGGCAGAGGACACATTATCATCTGGATAGCTGAACAGGGCAACATGTGGCGAGGACCATACCATTCTGAGTATTAGATATTTGCATCCCTTCTATAATTTTGATTATTATTTTTTTCAAGATCTTGTTGGCAATGCTCTCTATTTCTGTGGGAACCATTTCTAACTTAGCAAACTGGAGATCTGAATTCTCAAAGTAGGAAGAGCTTTACACTAAGATCTCACCTGATCTGCAATCTAGGTATATATAAACACCTTTACCTTGGAGTCACTGACCTGAAATAATTATATTTGGCATACACTGTTGTGTCTTAAATTAAGACACACCGTAAATCAGGGGGTGGAGAACCTCTGGCTCTCCAGATGTTGGCCAGGGATGATGTTAGTTTATATCTAGCAAAATCTGTATGGCCAGAGGTTCCTCACCTTTGCATTAAATACTCTATCCTTTCACTACTTCTGAGCATCTCAAGAGTGCAAAAGACTGGTTTAGGATGCGCCACGAAATAATAACACAAGTCATTAAGACTACAGTCCTATCCAACTCCCCAACGGAACGAAATTGAGATTTCTGAGAAAACAAGGCTGCGAACCCCTCTGATATAACACAAAACAGGTCACAGGGGAGCAGTTAATTTGCAAAGCAAGCCAGGCCAAAGCATGCCACGACAGATTCTGGCACGAAAGATTTAAGCATGGGCAGAAGAATGTTAGGGTGATGGTGCCAAACAGCAATAAATCTGAACAGAGGAGAACCACTGGTATTGGAACTGAAAGGGAATGTGGCTGTTCTGTTTTGGTGTTGTTTTGTTTTTATTAGGTATTTTATGGTTTTATATCTTGATTTTATTCTGTGAACTGCCCTGAGACCCCCGGGTATAGGGCTGTATATAAATTCAAAAAATAATAATAACAACAACCAGCGATTGGCCAACATGCTAGATGTGTGTGGCCAATGGTCTGGTTCCATGCCAGCACACCTGGAAGCATCTTAAGAGTTGCCATGCTAGACCCTACCAGTGGTCACCTGTTCTTTTTATTTATGAACTGTGGCCGAGCTGATGGCCAGCAGAACTCACAGACAGGCTACATTATTCCTCAGCAGAGGAACAATAATGCATGTTACTTTATAGCAACAACCAGCTTCTGCGGTGAAGGACTTTTCCTGTCCACTCTGCCCACACAATAGGGAGTAAATTACGGCAGTTTATTGTCTGGACCTATTAAAAGAAAAGAGACCTCTGCCAAAATGATATGAATGTTCTGAGATGAAAGTTCTCCTTTAGCTTGGCATGGCCAATAGCCACCCAGAGTCCGTCCATTCAACTAGGGCACATGCCACTCTTTTCTAAACCATAAGTGGAAGAATTTGCAACCGTGAACTCCACCACATTGTATAACCTGAATTTGCAGCGCTTCCATTTCACAGCTTCTCCCTCCCAATGACCACATAAGGTGGTTTTAGCTAGCATCTTTTAGACACTGGGTGTCTAAAGCCAATTTACCCAGTCGCCTCGTGCCAGAAAGCAAATATAACCATGGAATAAGTCGGCCATCTGTAACATGTTATTAATCTTACTATTGCTGCTACCCCTGATTTCTCACAGGAATGGGAATTTGTGATGCTCACAGATGGGCTTGTCTACGCTCATTGCCCGTCGGTTGGCACTGACTTGGGAAATGGGCCTTTTCATTCCCCTACCTACACCCATAGACTAAGGATAGTTAGCAGTGGGTATTTTAATCCTTTTGGGTGCACACACAAGTTCACGTACTAAAAATAGTTGCCAGTTAAGACCTACAAGGATAGATCTTTCCACATGTTTATTGTTTTCTTTGGCTCAAGCTGGGATAGCTCAGTCGGTTTGAGCCCCATGTTGGGTAAAAGATAACGGGTTGGAACAGATCGCGTCATGACCCCTTCCCATTCTACAATTCTATGATTTAAGTAGTGACGGCTGAGTTCTGGACCAGCTATTTTGAATCCATTACCGCAAAGTGGCTTTAAAGGCGCGCTTGGGAAAGACAGAGAGACAGAGAGACAGACAGACAGACAGAGAGAGAGAGAGAGAGAGAGAGAGAGAGAGAGGAAAGGGGGATGGTCTCGCATACTGGTCACAAACACAGAATCGGTGACTCGAGGTTGCTTTGGCTTGACTCGCATATCCCTTGCACGTGGGAATAGAACGCTAGCCCCCCTCGCTCGCCGCCCGCCCCACTCTGAACCTCTCTCTCTCTCTTTACCCCCCTTCCTTCCTTCCTTCCTTCCTTCCTTCCTTCCTTCTGGCCAGGTCTGGTTCCAGAACCGACGGGCGAAGTTCCGCAAGCAGGAGCGCGCCGCGGCGGCAGCGGCGGCCGCAGCCAAGAACGGCTCGTCTGGGAAGAAGTCCGACGCGTCGCGGGACGATGAGAGCAAGGAGGCCAAAAGCACCGACCCGGACAGCACCGGCGGGCCCGGCCCCAACCCCAACCCGGCTCCCAGCTGCGGCGGCGGCGGGCCCAGCCCCACGGGAGGCCCCGGCGGACCCGGAGCTGGCGGGCCCGGGCAGGAGGCCGGCAAAGGCGCGCCGTCGGGGCCTGGCGGCTTGTCGGCGGCGGCGGCGGGGCCCGGGCAGGGCTGGGCCCCCGGACCGGGGCCGATCACCTCCATCCCGGATTCCTTAGGCGGGCCCTTCGCCAGCGTGCTCTCGTCGCTGCAGAGACCCAACGGCACCAAAGGCACCTTGGTGAAGAGCAGTATGTTTTGAGCGCGGGGCCGGCCGGCCGGGGCTGCGTCGCCGGGGCCGGGCCTCCCTCGACGGGCGCTTCCCCAATGGCCGAGAGCGAGGAGGCGGCGCCCTCTGCAGGGAAGGGACTCGCCAGGCCTCCACTCCTGCCCTCCTCGCTCACGTCGGAGCGGCCCCGACGGCGCGGACTTGCAAACGACCTTGCCCGGGCTACGAACAAGCGAGCGCGCCCCGTAGTGCGCATCGCTCTGCTGCAGCAGGCGCCGCGCCTCCGCCCTCTCCTCCTTGCGCAGTCCCTGGCCGGGAGAAAACTGTCCACAAGCTGCCAGTGTCGTTTTGTCGGTGTTGCTGCTGCTACTGCAATGTAATCCTTCCTCCCCACCCCGCCAAACCCCCCTCTCTTGGCCGGGTTTTTCCTTGAGGCTGAGGCGCTTTCAGCGTGGCTGCACACCCGTTGCAAAACCGCGCATCCGCCTTTGCGCATCGTGAGCGCTCCATTTGGAGACTTGGCACGGCCTTCGCCTCCAAGGTGCGCGCGTTAAGAGCCACGCGGTCTCCCCCTCCCCCAGGGCTAAATTGGAGTCCACTCCGCCGCCCCCCCTGCCGCCCCACTCACTCACCCACTCCTTTTCGTGGGCTGAGCTGACGAGGCCCAGAGAACATGTACAGAGTTGAGAGGTCTAAATTTGTAAACGTACTGAAACCAAGGGGTTGCTGTGCAAGTCGTTTGTACTGTAACTAGAGCACAGCTTCTGAATGTATCAGTTAGGCTAGTAGGACGCACACCCCTTCCTGCTTTCGCAGCTTCCCTAGAGTATAATTGACACGGAGGGTCTAAAAATTACAGTTAAATGTTATGTTACACCGGAGAGGGCGGGGATATAGTTACAGAATCAGTGCAATCTGGTTATGTTTTATTCTGAACCAAATTCCACACTCTTCAATCGGGCTTACTCCCTTAATAAGCATGTTTAAGCCTTAAACTTTACGGATTGCCGCCTCGGTAGATCAATCTGTGTTTTCTAGGTAAGAGAGCCCATTTCTGAAGGCTTCCCAGAAATATTTTTGCACCACAAAACACCAGCCCTCGTGGAAACTGCAGCTTGCCTCAGGGAAAGCTACTTTTGTTTAGCATTCCTCTTAAACAAGGTGACCTAATTTGATGTGGCAGTTGTCAGAGGGTATGTATGTATGTATGGTTCAAGTTACGTTAAGATGGTTTAGGGTGGTGTGCCAAATGATTGCTGTTTGTGCCCGGGTACCGCTTCGTAAATGCAGCGTCGGTGATGACTTGCATTTGTGAAGGTGCAGCCAGAGGACCCAACCCATCTCCTCCTGCGAGGCTGATCAAAAGTCGTATCAGAGTTCAGCTGCCAGCCCTCAGCCACACACAGTAATCCACTGAGACGTGTGAGAAGCAGTTTTTGGACCAACTCCGTTTCCAGCCCTGCCGAGTGACAACGTGAACCGGCCCTGACCATTCAGCATAGCCAACCCTCCTATTGTGATCATTACTAGCAGTGATTAGATTTTTCATTTACGGCCCTGCCCTTTCCCCACCGCAGTTGCTGCAAACCTACCGTAATTGTGTGTTTCAATGTGCAGGGAGAAGTTTACAGAAGGTGAACCAACTCTCTGTCCAAAATAGCCCCAGGGGTCTTAACAGCCCTTTCTGGCAAATGGATTGGAATTCATTCTGAAGATTACGATTACATTGTCCATGCAGTTTTTAGGCATCTCTTCTTAGGGTTTTAAAAAAATGTTTCTTTTACAAGGCACAAGAACCTAGGTATTAGTTATGTCGACAGGTATGCTTTGCCATCTTTTTCTGTGTCTTTCTAAAACTGTGTTCTGTGACTCAATTGTATAGTGTTAATATTGATACAAACTTGTCTACTCTAGTTAGACGTATAAATAATGTTTTCTCTCCTTGTAGTCTTTATGGTGTGTCTTTATGGAGAAATGAGGTTCTCACTGGTTACATTTCTTTGCGTTTAGAGAGGTCGGCTTCATGCAATGGTATCAGCTTTGGTTATCAATTGCATGTTGTCTCTTTTTTATTATTGTTCTTTTTCCTTTTGTGTTGGGATATGTTTGTGAGCATTAACCATCATAAATTATGTTTCAGGATTTTCAGATTTATTTATATGTGGTTAAAATGAATGCTTCTATTTAAAAGGGGAAATATTTCTACATGTGCATATAGTTTTCCAAGAGTGTACCATTAACTGATTGTTGATAATAAAAACAAAAAGCAAATACATGCCCTCTACATCTCTCGCTCTAATTTACTTTCTTCCTGAAGTGTGTTTTTAAAAACAAGAGTGTTGTGATAAATGGTGACTGATAGGCACTAGAGTGTGGGCAGGATCTGGGTGGGGAAATAAATCAACCCTCCAGTATTGAGAATTTCCTCTGTGGATAATGTTGTAGGAACCAGGAAGTGCTGTGACCCAGTTTCTAGGGTGGTGATCAGGTTTTGAACCCATCACAATACGGTCTTCAAGTATAGCACTTCACTGCATTGTACCTAGTGTAAGTGCTGCCATTCATTCTGTGAATATCTCCTTGAGATAGTTGCTTTTTTAGCATGTCAGAAAGCTCCTTGTTGGATAGCACATCAACTTAGGTCAGAAACAGATTTCAAAACAATCCATCCATGATTTTTCCTCTGAAATCTTTTAGAGACAGGTGCAGTTTAATTCCTCCACAACACTGCAGTCCTAACAACCAGAGAATTAAAGAGGGTTGCCCGATGCATAATAATCTCTTGTGACTTCAGCATGACAGATCAAATACCCCAGTCAGAGCTTTTAATGTTATTTGACCCCACCCCAAAGCAGTACTTTTAGCGGAGGCCATTCACACAGTCATCAAAAAGTCGATAAACGATAAGTTACCGAATGAATGTGAATTGCCAGAGATTTTCTTCTTCTTTTCAAATAAGGGCAGTTCAGGCTTACAGGATTCAAAGAAGTGCTTTCACACCAATACAAAAGTATTCCAGTGTAAGGTGTATGTGTTGTGTGAATGGGAGGAGATGATGGGCATTGAGAAAGAAGTAAGATACTATTCCTTACACCAAAAGGTATTAAACTGGCAAGAAGAAATCAGTATTTGTGGATAACTTACGTAATGTGCATGGTACAGGTATTCTAAAAAAACAAATCTCAAATATACACTTTGTTATACAGGCTAAACCTGGTCATCCCGTTTGGCTACTTCAACTCTCTTGGAATTCATTAAGCCAATCACATTGAACAGGAATTCATAACTGTGTTAGTTTTAAATTCAAGAGTTACCTGGCAGTCACAATCGTAAGGAAGATCCTTTTCTTTTGCCCACTTCCTAGCAGTCAGCATTTACAAAACCAGATTACCTTACAAAATAAATATTAAAAGGCCTCCTTGGAAACTGCTCCAAAACATCCCAGATTGGGATCTTTCTGAAAATGCTTTGTATGGTGTGTTTTTTTTTAAAAAAATGCTTCATGTTTGACTGAATACCCAAAACTTCGGCTGTGATGTTTCCCTCTAACAGTTATCCTCACAGCTCGAGCTGATGTTCTGCTTTCTCAACACGCAATTGCATGCCAATGCTTTAAAAGGCTTTATTGCACTTCCGCCCGGAGACATTTTCCTCTTGAAAGAAGTACAAAGATAAAAATATTGAAATGTCGCCAATAGTTCCAGTACAGGACAGTCAACCATGAACAGAGTTGATTATGCTGGAATACCAGAGCCATTTGCAGGAGACAAGCAATTTTTAATACCGCTTTCAACAAGGAATAATTGCTAAATGCCTTGGTGAGGAAAAGCTGCTCAGAATGTGTGTTTCTGGTGGCCAAAAACATCCCTTTGGATTAGAGATGCAAGGAACTTGGCTTGTGCATCGCACTCTCCACTTCAAAACAATTTGGAACTTGCGTTATTTTTAACGGATTTCAGCTACAACACCAACTATTCAGTAGCAATAAATACATAATATATAGAATTCGCTATTAAGAGATAATTGCATGTGATTCCAGATGCGGCAAGAGAATGTGGAAGAACACAATCAATACACACATTAAAAGGACATAGGGTTTAGTTGTTAATCTTTTAAAATAGTTGCCATTATGCTGTTTAGTTTATTTCTTGTGCTTTTGATGCTCAACAAGGCCAAAGATCTCACAGAGGAAAACTGGATGACGCACTTGTTAAGTTGAAAGTCTTTATTAGCAATCCAGGGTAATAGATATATCCCTCCCAAACCATAGTCTCAAGTTTTGTAGAGAGTAATTATGTGTTCCATACTTTTTCAGATTTTAAGGTTTCTGTTCCAAGTGTTGTTTATATATTTGGAATTATTTACATATTTTCAGTTTAGGGGGGCATTTTTTATATTCATTTTAGCTTAGGTGTATTTGCATTGGAGTTTCTTATCCAAACAAAACCCTGCTCACTTTATTCACAGACTAATAAAACTGGATGTTTGTTGCTGGGATACATTGATTAAAAAACTGATTAAAATTGAAAAGAAAAGTCTCTTGGCAGGGTCTTGCTTGAGCCTATAATAAAGGGCTCTAAATTTATCCCCATAGTAATTAGCTAACTACCGTGTATTTTAGTTTTTTAACATGAGAAATAGTCATTGTATCTTTGCTGCTAAGTTCTGTGTGTATTGTGTGATGAAGATGTTGGGTGGTATACGTGTAGTATGGGGTTCATCTTGATTTTGAGGTGTGAAAGTATGTTCAATAGGCAGCTTCTAGGCTTAAAAGTGAAGCAGCATTTCTTTCCATTGCAATTAATTCCTATTTTTATTACATACTTATTTCTCCCTTTGAAATACTAGGACTTGTATGTTTGAAACATTAATTCAATGAACTGGAATAACGCCATGCAGCAAAGAATGCCAGAGGCTCAGAAGCAATGCTATAGTCTTTTTTTTCCTAACCAAAAGAGAACAACACCAAAGAGGGGAAATGTTTCGATTAAGTCGAAACCTCTAGGCAGCTTCATTCATGTGTTACCCCCAAA